CTCAACGACTGAGCCACCCAGGCGCCCCTTAAGAATTTTTTTTAAAAAGTCATGCTTCTTTCACAACATATATATCAAGTCTCATTTAATTAGTCAACTTTTAAATTATCATGAAGCATGGTTTAGTAGGAAAACACGGAATGAGGGTCTGAACACCTGGTTTCTAGTCCAATTTAATGACCTCCTAAAGGTCAGATATTTTGATTTCTACATTTTATAGAATATATTCTATATTTTCCATAGCATCTGTTATGAATGATAGTAATTCCTAACCTTGAATATTGCTTTACATTTTAAATATGCATCTTATATCATAAAATACATAAGGAAGTCTCATGCACTGAAACAATATCACCTTTCCATAAATGGAACCCAATATCAAGATATCAGGTAAATGGCAAAGTATGATTTAGAACATCAGTGAACACTTCTCACTCCAATTGCTTCTACTGAATGCGGGAAGCAATGTGTAAGAAGTAAACTGAGCAATTCACTAAATGAATTCTAATATGTGAGTGAGAGAAACATACATTTTCTGAGCAGTGCTGTATGCTCTAAGGTAATTGTTTAGTAATGGGGCACCTGAGTGGCTCAGTTGCTTAAGCGTCTGACTCTTGATTTCATCTCAGGTCATGATCTCCAGGTTGTGGGATTGATCCCCATAACAGGCTCCACATTCAGGGTGGAGTCTGCTTGTCCCTCTCCCTCTGCTCCTCCCTCGCTTGTGAGTGCTCTCTCCTTTTCTCTCTGTTTCAAATAAATAAAATATTTAAAAAAAAAAAAATAATTGTTTAGTACCAACCCAAAATCCCACTTGGGGTTTCCAAGTCCATGAGTTATCTCCTGCCATCTTGATAAATTTCCTTTAGATTTAAATACCCGGAGGTCAAGTAGGTGTGAATGACCCTATGCTCCTTGTTTCAGTGATCAAGCTGAACCAATCAGAATTTTTTCCTAAAAATTTGGAATTGGGTTGCAGAGGGGTGCCATTGGTCATTAAAATTAGTTAACAAACATGGAAATAAACTGAGTTGCACACAAAGTAGAGTACTTAGAAATAAGATCCATTAACTATTAATGTAGATGTCCCAGGACACACCTGGTTTCTGACCACCCTGAGAACTTTTATTTTTTGTTGTTGTTGTTTATTTCTTTAAATAATTGATGTATGATTGACAAAATTGTAAGATATTTAAAGTGTACAATGTGATGATTTGATATATGTATATGCTGTGACAAGATTGCCCTCATCGAGTTAATGAACATATCTATCACCTACAGATTGATTGATTGGTGAGAATATTTAAGTTCTACTCCCTTGGAAAATTTTAATTATACAGTACAGTATAATCAGTTATAGTCACCATGTTATAAGATCCTCAAACCTTATAACTGAAAGTTTGTATCCATTTACCAGCCTCTTCTTATTTTACCCAGCCCCTGACAATCATTTTCCTATTCTGTTTCTGTGAGTTTGATTTTCTTTCTTTTTTTTTTTTTTTAAGACTCCACATATAAGTGGTACCATATGGTATCCTTCTCTGTCTGGTTTATTTCACTTAGCATAATGCCCTCAAAGTCCATCCATATTGTTGCAAATGACAAGATTTCCTTATTTTTTAAGGCTGAATAATATTCCTTTGTATATATATAGCTGACTCTTGAACAATATGAGTTTGAACTGTGCGAGTCCTTACAGTCAGGTATCTTGTAGTACAGTAGTGTAAATGTATTTTCTCCTTTTTATGGTTTTCTTAACTTTTTTTCTCTAACTTATTTGTTGTAAGAATACAGTATATAATACATATAACATACAAAATGTGTTAATTGGCTATGTTATTGGTAAGAGTTCTGGTCTCTAGTAGGCTAGGCTATTAGTTAAGTTTTTTTTTTTTTTAAAGATTTTATTTATTTATTTGACAGAGAGAGAGACAGCGAGAGAGGGAGTACAAGCAGGGGGAGTGGGAGAGGGAGAAGCAGGCCTCCCACTGAGCAGGGAGCCAGATGCGGGGCTCGATCCCAGGACCCTGGGATCATGACCTGAGCCGAAGGCAGACGCCCAACGACTGAGCCACCCAGGTGCCCCAGTTAAGTTTTTGAGGAGTCAAAAGATATGCAGATTTTTCATTGTGGGGTGGGGTTGGTGCCCCTAACCCTCACATTGTTCAAAGGTCAACTGTATATACCACATTTTCTTTATCTATCCGTCTACAGACACTTAGGTTGTCTGAATACTTTTAAATACTCATCGAATCACATGAGATGTATATCTTTAAAATAACATCTCCCTTTTCAATCCTTTCAATCTGTCCACAAGTTTTATTTGAGAGAGATGGAATGATTTCCAGTTCTTTGCCACCGTAAAATTCCTGTAAAAGAGAGGTTAAATAAGTTGTTAAAATCCCACAACAAAAAGACATGAGACAAAAAATGGCAGTAATGGGAGTCATTATTTCTCAAAAGAAAGAAGTATTGATAAGAATGATATTCATTGATAATAATGGATTCTTTTTTTTTTTTTTTTAAGATTTTTTATTTATTTATTTGAGAGAGAGAATGAGACAGAGAGAGAGAGCATGAGACGGGGGAGGGTCAGAGGGAGAAGCAGACTCCCTGCCGAGCAGGGAGCCCGATGCAGGACTCGATCCCGGGACTCCAGGACCATGACCCGAGCCCAAGGCAGCCGCGCAACCAACTGAGCCACCCAGGCGCCCCAATAATAATGGATTCTTAAACATTGAAGTTCCATAAGAGTGGGAGGGGGACAATGATTCTATTTTACCTCGGAAAATGTGTATCAATTGAAGTTTAATAGCCAAGATGAGTGAGTAGTTTCCTTCCTCAAGATACGGCAGTTACAGTTCCCTCCATTTGCTTTCTGTTTTGTCTTTCCCAAGTCCCCCATCTCCAAGGGGCAGGTATTGGCTAGATGAGCACTTCCTTACCTGAAGGTGAAGCAGATTGTTATCTTCAATGGCAGAGATGAGAAACCTCTGCCAAGTACCATGTTGAAGTAGGAGAACATCCTTATAAGCAGAATTTCTTTTAATCAGTCTTTGGAAGCCACTTCCGGTACTGATTTATGTACGTATGGTTTGTCACTAATGTAATTATGCTTCTGGAATGGATTATGTTTTAATTTTAGAATTCCTTGGCCTTGGTTACAATTTTATGACTACCTTAAGCCTTACTCAAGGGCATAATTTTTATAAAGCAATCAAGTGCAAACATTAGGTAAAACCAAGGGTCATTCATCCTCTCCTCTTCTCTCTGCAAGCAGTACTTTTATAGAGCTTTCAGAATCTGTAGAGGAGTGCACAAAACAATTTCCTTTTACTGCTGGAACTGTTTCTCCTATTGGACTGTTCATTAATTATGCCAATTATATTTTGAATGGTACTAAAAGGTGCAAAGGGTAAAATATGAATCAGTATATGATTTTAGTACTTGACTTTGTCCAGAATTTTATATCCCTTTAGGGTTATTTCTGCTCAAAACAAAGTATCTATAAAAATTATCTATATTATTATTTTTATTTCTAAGCTACATATATTGAACTCCTCAAAAGTAGTATCCATTCAGCTCTTAATAGAATCTTTTATATTCAAAACATGCATATGCTTTATAATAAGATGAACATATGAAAAATAAGAGAATCTTCAAAGTAAATGTTGAGCAAAGGAAAAAAATGGACATTCATGCACCCACCACTCAGCTTGAAGAACAGAACATTACAATAACCTGAAGTCACCTTTGCCAGATTTCATTTCTCTGTATTGACCTAGAAGTAATCACTATCCTCTTCCTGAACTGTGTACCCATTATTCCTTTGCTTCTCTTTATAATTTGTCCATTTTTATGTGTATTTTAACAAAATATTGGTTAGTATTACTTGTGTTTGAATTATATAACTATAGAGTCACTGTATATATTTTTAAACCCTTTTTTTTTTTTGCTCAAAATGACATAAGATTTATCCATGTCGGTTTATGTAACATGCTCCATAGGTTCATTCTCTATATCATTCATTATCACTGTTGTAAAGTATCAGATTATAGGAGATTATTTTTTTAATCTGTTGATAGACCTTCAGTGCTGCTGTGAATATTGCTCTATCAGTCTCCTCTTGCCACATGTGAAAAGTTTCTCTAGGGAAGAAATTCCTCAAATTCTCCATGGAGTAAAACATGCATATCCATCTGTCATACTGGAGTAAACGGTTGGATATGCTCACAGGAGAAGGTGACTAGCCCATGGGTTCTAGCTGCATTCTGCTAGCCCTTCCCTTTCCCCTTGAGGGCTGAAGTGGAGAAGTCCTCAGGCACACAGATAACCTATTCATGGTATTAATATGCTGGAATGATACACAGGAATGAATTCTAACATCTATGGGGTTAATCATCTTAATTTTTTTGAATAATGCCAAATAGTTTCTGAAGGGTTATATCAAAGTAGTAGTGGGAAACAGATGTAACAACTAAATAAGGGTAATTGAAAGTAACGTAATAAATAGTAACTTAACATTATTAACTTAATAACAAATAATTTTAAAGTCATAGGCAGAGAAGAGAGGAGGGCAAAGCACCCAGGGTCTCAGAACCTTCAGGGAGTTACTCCTCAGCATAGGCCTAAATGGAAGGGACGAGGGGAGTGAACTGTTACAGAAACCTAAGGGACAGTCACTATAGAAGAGAGCTACCTGACATATAAGTGTCTGTGGCCTTAAGTAGAGGGACACACCTGGATACTGAGGCCTGGCACACCTCCTCACACTCATATCATGCCCACATCTTGCACTGCCATGTAACATGAAAAATTATATAAGTAGTTTTTTTCTGAAATTGAACTACCTTTTCATTTCTAGACTAAAACACAATTTGTTATTTAGCTGGATTTGAATTTTTGGGGGTGGAGGGGCAGAGGGAAAGAGAGAATCTCAAGCAGGCTCAACACCCAGCAGAGTCTGACGTGGGTCTGCATCTCAGGACCCCGAGATCATGACCTGAGCTGAAATCCAGAGTCAGAGCCACCCAGGAGTCTCATAGCTGGATTTGATTTTTTTAATGTTTGTTTTGGATTTTTGCCTTTATGTTGAGGAGGGTATAAACCTGTAATTTTCTTTCTTGTAATTTCCTGGGTTTGTTATCATGGTATATGAGGCATAAAATACTTTCCCCTTTCTTATTGTCTGGAAAAGTTTGTGGAAGATAACATCACCTGGTTCATAAATGCTGGGTAGAGTATCTGCCTTGGCCTGATGCTTTCCTTTGTGGGAAAATATCTAACAAGTGACCATATATTTTAATTGATGGAAGACTATTCAAATTATCCTTTTCTTAAATTACATTTGAAATTTTCAGCTGCTTTTTTTTTTTTTAAAGATTTTATTTATTTATTTGAGACAAAGAGAATGAGAGGGAGGAGGGTCAGAGGAGAAGCAGACTCCCCACCGAGCAGGGAGCCCGATGCGGGACTCGATCCCGGGACTCCAGGATCATGACCTGAGCCGAAGGCAGTCGCCCAACCAACTGAGC